TATTTTCTTCTGCCTGTATTTATCTAGTGCTCAGTGATGCCTTATAGTAAGTTCCTAAGTTCAAAGCATGTGCCATTTACAGACAAAGTGCAAGGCAAGAAACAAGAAAGATGGGAAAATGGATTGCAAAGAGAAGAGGAGTGAAAAAGCTTTATCTGTTTTGGGTAATAGGAAGTTATAGAAACTAGGACTGGATTTTAAATGACCAACAGAGGAAATTTGTGTTATTAATAGATACAACGTACTTAGCAACATGGCAGGCTTTATAGAACACATAAAAATAAAAGGTAAAACTGGTTGGCCTATCTCCAGCCTTTTTTTTTTTTTTTAAATATTTATTTATTTGAGAGAGAGACATTGAGAGAGAGCATGAGCAAGGAGGAGGTCAGAGGGAGAAGCAGACTCCTGGTGGAGCTGGGAGCCCGATACAGGACTCGATCCCGGGACTCCAGGATCATGACCTGAGCTGAAGGCAGTCGCTTAACCAACTGAGCCACCCAGGTGTCCTATCTCCAGCCTTTTGTGTGGTTTTTCTCCTTTCATGTGCACGACAGTCCTGTGCGTAGGTAGTGTTACCTTCAGTTTTAGAGATGAAGAGACAGGCTCACAGCTTCAAGTAACTTGCCCATGCCTTTGGCTAGCAAGTGGTAGAGCTGGATTTGAACTCAAATAAGCACAGACTGTGTTATTTCCATACAATCATTTCTCAGTGAATTTTGAAAAATTAGTGGGAATTGGAACCTCCAGCATGAGGCAGACAGTAATTATTTTCTTGAGAGGAAATTATTTTCTTTGAGAGGAAAGAAGTGGGTAGGACTAAGGGGCACCTGGGTGGCTCAGTGGGTTAAGCCTCTGCCTTTGGCTCAGGTCATGATCTCAGGGTCCTGGGATCGAGCCCCACATCAGGCTCCCTGCTCAGCAGGGAGCCTGCTTCCCCCCCCCCCCCCCCCCCGCCTGCCTCTCTGCCTACTTGTGATCTCTCCCTCTCTCTCAAATAAATAAATTTTTTTAAAAATTTATTTAAAAAAGAAAGTGGGTAGTAATGATAAAAAGAAATTTTTTGGCAAGAAAAGAATAAATGGCACACCAAATGCAGAAAAGTTTATAATTTTTTTTTTAATTTATTAATTTTAGAGCGTGAGAGGGATGAGGAGCAGAGAGAGAGGGAATCTTAAGCAAACTCCCTACTGAGCATGGATCCCCCAACACAGGGCTCAATCTCCCAACCCCGAGATCATGACCTGGGCCGAAATCAAGTCAGACACTTAACTGACTGAGCCACCCAGGTGCCCTCAAAGTTTATATTTTTTTCTTTAAAAAAAAAAAAAAAAAGATTTTTGTATATTTAAGGGAGAGAGAGAGCACAAGCCAGGGTAAAGGCAGAGGGAGAGACAGACTCCCCACTGAGAAGGGAGCCCAGTGGCCTGACCCCAGGACCCCAGGATCATGACCTGAGCCGAAGGCAGATGCTTAACCATCTGAGCCACCCAGGTGTCCCAAAAGTTTGTATTTCTGATAGAAAAGTGAAGTTCCTGCAAATGACTGGTGTTCAGGCTCAAGCGTATATCCCAGAGTTGCTGTTCCCCCGAATCTGCATTTCTAAAAAGCCAGCAGTGGATGCTGCCCCTGCTGCTGCTGCTTTTGGCCTGGGGACCACACTTGGATGTCACTACTCTGGACTATTTGAGGAAGGTGGAGACATGGCCAGTGTGTGTAAGAGGAGTTCATCTGGGTAGCAGCATTCAGGGAGCTGGAGAGATGCGTGTAGAGGTAGAAATCATGGTTTTTAACAAGTGTGGGATAGTCAGGTTCGTGTTTTATAATGATGCGAAAGAAAGCACCCCTGTTCCCAGTGGCTGGAAGAGGGTTGTGTGTGGAAGGATGAAATACAAGAATCTTGTAGAGTGTAGGTTAATGGCTGTTTTCAGATCCGGCAAGCAGTGCCCTGTCTATAACATGCTCGATAATTGTTTGCACGATGTCTCACACCTGTTAGAATGGCTATCATCAAAGACCAGTGATGACAAATGCCGGTGAGAATGTGGGGAGAAAGGATCCCTAATGCACAGCTGGTGGGAATGGAAATTGGTGCAGCCACTGTGGAAAACAACATGAAAGTTCCTAAAAAAAAATGTAAAACTACCAGATGAGCCAACAATTCCACTTCTGGGTATTTATCCAAAGGAAATGAAATCACCATCCCAAAGAGCTATCTATACCCCCATGTTCCCTGCAGCATTATGCACAATAGCAGAGACATGGGAACAACCTAAATGTCTTTTGACAGATGGATAAAGGAAATTTGGTATTCATATACAATGGAATACTATTCAGCCCTAAAAAGAAGGAAATCCTGCTATTTGCAACAATATGGGTGAGCCCTGAGGGCATTATGCTAAGTGAAATAAGTCAGAGGAAAAACAAATACTGTATCATCTCACTCCTGTGGAGTCTAAACAAACAAACAAAAAACCAAACTCAGCACAGATTTGTGATTCTTGGGGTGGAGGTAGGGGAAATGGGTGAAGGTGGCCAAAAGGTGTACAAACTCCCAATTATAAGATAAATAAGCTCTGGGGATCTAATATACAACATGGTGACTATCATGAATACTGTATTGTATATTTGAAAGTTGCTGAGAGAAGATCTTTTTATTTTTTTATTTTTTTAAAGATTTTATTTATTTGACAGAAAGCACAAGCAGGCAGAGCAGCAGGCAGAGGGAGAAGCAGGCAGTCGCTTAACCGACTAAGCCACTCAGGCACCTCCTTAGAGTAGATCTTAATAGTTCTAATAAAGAAAGAGAAATTTGTTAACTATGCAAGGTGATGGGTGATAACTAAACTTTGATCATTTCACAATAAATGCATGTATCAAATCATTATGTTGCTAACTTAAACTGATACAATGTTGGATGTCAGCTGTATCAATAAAACTGGGGAGTAATTGTTTGTTGCATGAATGGACAGTTAGAATGAAGTGTTCTGTATGGTAGGGGCGCCAGGGTGGCTCAGTCAGTTCAGTGTCTGCCTTCAGCTCAGGTCATGATCCCAGGTTTCTGGGATTGAGCCCTTGGGCTCCCTGCTCCACGGGGAGACTGCTTCTGCCTCTCCTTCTGCCTGCCACTTCTTGTGCTCTCTCTCTTTCAAATAAATAAAAATAAATAAAATCTTAAAAAAATTTTTTTCCCGTATATTAGAAATATTTAAGGGGAACCTGGGTTGCTCAGTTGGTTAGGTGTCCGACTCTTGATTTCAGCTTAGGTCATGATCTCAGGGTCCTGAAATCCAGCCCCATGTGGGGCTCCGCACTCAGCAGGGAGTCTGATTGAGATCCTCGCACTCTTCCCGTGCTTGCGTGCTCACGCTGTCTTTCCTCTCTAAAATAAGTAAAATCTTAAAAAAAATTCAACAATTGATATATATCCTCCCATTCTTTTTTTAAGTCTTTCTCATAAAAACATTTTCTAAAATTTTTATTTTTGGTCAAAATAATTTTGGGAAAAATCTTCAGAATATACAAATGATATACAGTAAAATGCCCTCCTGCTCTTGTCTCTTCTCCTTGGTTTCTTTCCTTCAAGGCCAGTCATTAATAGTTTCTTGTGTATCCTTCCATACACAGGGATAGTCCTCGTAAGTGTGTGTGTGTGTGTGTGTGTGTATGTGTGTGTGTGTGTGTGTGTGTGTAAATTTTTAAAACACAAAAGTAGTACAGCATACTATACCACTATTCTGTCCTTTACTCTTTTTCGTTTAGTAATACATTTTGTTGATCATTTCATATAACTTATATATAAGGCTGACTCAGTCTTGTTTAACTGGTCATTTTATTTAAATTTCAAACTGTGGTGGGCATTTAGAGAGCTTCTAATCTGTTGGCATAATTAAAAACATTACAGTGACCATATAATTTGTAATTTGGTCATTATTATCAAATTGCCTCTATAGAGTTGGGTGAATTAATTTACATCCCCAGCAACAGTTTAAGATAGAGCCTATGTCTGCATATCCGCAACAACAAAATGTTTATGAAATTGTCCATTTGTCAATTTGATGAAAATAATACTCTATGATCATTTTCATTTGTATTTTTCTAATTGTGAGTGAAATTTTGCATTTTTCTTATGTTTATATATCAGTTGGATTTCTTTTTTCTGTGACCAGGATGCTCATGCCCTTTGCTCACTTCCTAATTACTTTTTTTTTTCTTATTGAATCTCAGAAGCTCTTTATTAAGGAAATTGACCCTTTATTATATGTGATGCAGACTTGGGGCGCCTCGGTGGCTCAGTCATTAGGCGTCTGCCTTTGGCTCAGGTCATGATCCCAGGGTTCTGGGATCAAGCCCCACATTGAGCTCCCTCCTTGGTGGGAGGCCTGCTTCTCCCTCTCCCACATGCTCTGCTTGGATTCCCTCTCTCGCTCTGTCAAATACATAAATAAAATCTTTTTTAAAAAATGTGGTGCAGGGACGCCTGGGTGGCTCAGTTGGTTAAGCAGCTGCCTTCAGCTCAGGTCATGATCCCAGCATCCTGGGATCGAGTCCCACATCGGGCTCCTTGTTCTGTGGGGAGCCTGCTTCTCCCTCTGCCTCTGCCTGCCACACTGTCTGCCTGTGCTCGCTCTCTCTCTCTCTCTCTCTCTCTGACAAATAAATAAAATCTTAAAAAATGTGGTGCAAACTTATCATTTACCTTTTAGTTTTCTTTATAGTGAACAATTGTTTTTTTTTTTGTTTTGTTTTTTAAAGATTTTGTTCATCTCTTTGACAGAGATCACAAGCAGGCAGAGAGAGGAAGGGAAGCAGGCTCCCCGCTGAGTAGGGAAGCAGAGAGCCCGATGAGGGCCTATCCCAGGATCAAGACCCTGTCGAAGGCAGAGGCTTTAACCCACTAAGCCACCCAGGCACCCCTGAACAATTGTTTTTAAAATTGTGCGTTTTAAGTGAATTTACAGTTGTTACCTGTGTTTTGTTCGTTTGTTTGTTTTCCTATGTAGGATTTCTTAATATTTGGGATCTAAGGACTGGAAAGTATCCTGTCCATCGTTTTGAGCATGACGCAAGAATACAAGCACTCGCCCTCAGCCAGGACGACGCGACTGTGGCCACGGCTTCTGCTTTTGATGTTGTGATGCTACGCCCCAGTGAGGAGGGGTATTGGCAAATCACTGCTGAATTTGAAGTTCAGAAACTGGTAAGCTTTTTGGTCTGGTCACTGTATTCTCTGTTGTTGAAATCCCCAGGTCTGATATAGACAGATAGTGATGATGTCGGCAGCTCCCATTCACTCAGGGCTTCGTGGACATCTTACATTTCTAAATCTCATGGCAGCCTTGCAAAAAATAGATAGTATCTTTCCCCCATTTACCAGAAAGCCAGGAGAGGCTTGGAGCAGTAAACCGACTTGCCCCATATCTCAGCGCTGAGAAGCTGTGCTGCAAACCTCAGGGCTGACTTCAAGGCTAGTATTTCTGGTTACGGGGATCTTTGGCTTCCTTCACGTTCATAGGACATTCACCCCTGGAAATCTGAGCCTGGTTTCTAGCCTATTATATAAGTGAAAATGAATTCAGTCGTATCCTGCCAATCCATATGGGAAGGAAGGTTTCCATCCTGCACTTTCTTCACCGAGGATTTTCTCACCTGGAATTAAGAGTAGCTCCTGAGTGAAAATAAATTTAAGTCCGCGTTAATTGGGTAGCTGTGTTCCAGGATGTCATGTGTGAAGCTCGGCCAGCCTGAAGAGTTCTTTCACATAGAGCCTGTTTCCGAGTCCATTTGTATGTGAGCCTCCATGGTTATATGGTGGGAGATGATTTTGCGGTAAGAAGGAAGAGCTTAAATCTGTGCTAAATTTGGATTTAATTTAACCTTGATTTTAGCGCTAGTGGGAGAGCAAACCGAAAAGCCAATTTTGAATAATGAATTTGTGGTCTGACCTGGAACAGGTCCTGTTCTCCCTTTTCCCCCCCTGGTAGAGCTCTTGTTAGGCTTGAGTAACTAAAAAGCCCTTGGCCTCTCCACGTCCCCTCCATAAGCTTCTTGTCCCTCTAGTGAGCAATTTCTGCAGTTTCAGTGGTGGTTCTCTGAAACTGCCTGTTGCTCCTCTTGGAGTTTTATTAGAGAAATGTAGAAGTGCCATCTCTTTGTTCTCGAAACTACCATAGTGCTTATCATTTGGTCTCTGCCTAAAGAATATTCTAGATGAGCAATAATTATATGAATTCGACAATTACTTAAGATTTGAGTTCCTCTGTAAAGTGTAAATCCTTGCCTTGGCAATAAGGTGGCACCCTGGCATAGACTGGAAGTTTTTTAAAGTAGTTTACAGCTCCTGGCAAATGGCACAGCCACAGTCGATCTGAGCTTCTTGGTCTGTCAAAAATCCAACAGTAAAGTGAAATTAAATGGCTAGACTGAGGATGTTGATTTTAGGAAAATAAGAAATGAGTTTTAGAATAGGGGAGAGAGGACGGAGGCAACCGCTGCTGGAGGCATGTGTTATTATGCTTTTTATGTGTTCTTTCTCCTCCTGGATGAGGGGTGGCCACAGAATGTGCTGTCACTGAAAAAGGTACCTCCTGGCCTGTGAAAGCCGGGCCATTTTTGTCTTTCCCAGATAGGCTCCCTGAATCACAATGGCAGTGTTCCCCGATTGGTACTACTGGCCTAGAATGTCTGTCCTTTGTCATGAGTTCTTGGCTGGGGACATGGGGCCGCCACTCACACTCTTGGGCCAGAGGATTAGCAGAATCACCCCGATGTTTACTCTCTCTCAAGCTCCTCTGGACAGTCCCCGGGGTGCAGGCTTTTGAACTCCTTTGGCTCATTGTCAGGGCAGTGCTGTCCCTTTCCACAGTGGTTTTCATAATTACACAACATGGCACACCGTCTGCTTTTGTACTCTCCCATTTTACTCAAGGTGAAAACCTGGTGTAAACTGTGCTTGGGAGACATGTGCCACTCAGGGACATAGAAAAGCAGATTACTCCTGAAGGGAGCACCTCATGCTCATGCAGATTAGAGAAAGCGGTTGCAATGATGCAGTGAGGAGTAGTGAAGGGGCCTTTCTACCCTCGATGACTTTGAAGCCAGCAGAGGACAGATACCTCAGGTACTTTTAGCCTTTTAGCAACACATTTTTGGTATTTGCACAAATGTTAAAATGTGAATGGTGCTAATTTGGAACTGAGTGGATTTTTTTCAGTTTCTTGTAAAAAAAAAAAAAAAACCTTTATTTTTTGAATAGTTATTATACCCTCATGGTTCAGAATTTAAAAGATAGAGTAAGGTTTACAGGGAGAAATCTCTCTTCCACCCCATCAAAGAACTCTGTTCCCTTCTTGAAAGCAGCCAATATTATCAGATTTATATTTGCATAAGTCACATACGTGCTGTGGTCCCTCTCGCCCCCCTTCACACACGGTAGCATACTGTGAATCCTGTACCTCGCTTCCTTGCCTTTTTCCCCCCAAATGTATCTTGGAGATGATTCCATTTATATCAGTTTATAAAGAATGCTTCATGCTTTTTTTTTTTCTGTGGCTGCATAGTATTCCAATGCATAGATGTATTGTTAATTAGTCCCTTGGTAAGGCATGTTTAGGTTTTTCCAATTTTTAGCTAAGACAACATAGTAAATAGTAAATAACCTTGTACACAATTGTTTTGCCTGTATGTGAGTTTACTTGTAAGTAAATTCCTAGGGCTGACTTGCTGGTTCAGAGCGAATGTGCATTTGACATTGTGTAAGTATTGCCAGATGTCCCTCTAGAGAGGTTGGAACAGATTATATCCCACCAGCCATAAGTGGGATCTGCGAGTATGGTTGTCTCCCCTCCATTTCCAGACCAGTGTCCTATCAGGCTAATTGATCTTTGCTGATATGACTGGTGAAAATGGTATCTTGGCGAATTACTTCATATTTCTCTTATCGGAAATGTGTTGTTGTTGTTGTTTTTGTTTTGTTTTGTTTTTTTACAAAGAGCAACTTTTTATTAGTGTAAGAACTATGTTCTCATTTCCGTGACCTTGTGAGCCTTTACCCATCTTTTTCTGTCAGGTTGCTGGTCTTATTGACATAGAGGAGGGATTGTATATTTTTGACCAAGTCAGGATGAACCATGGGTGAGACCTGATGGACTCCATAACTCTTATCCTTTCACAGGTTGACTACCTTGAAATAGTTCCAGATACTGAAAGGTACCCTGTGGCAGTGGCCACGGCTGGAGATCTGGTGTACCTGCTAAAAGCTGAAGACTCTGCCAGAACCCTCCATTATGTCTACGGCCAGCCCGCCACGTGTCTGGATGTCTCGGCCAGCCAGGCTGCTTTCGGTGTGAAGAGTCTAGGATGGGTATACGAAGGCAACAAGGTACAAAAATAGTAAGACGTATAAGGAACAAAAAAGAACATCGATTTTTATTTTTTTGAAGACAATTAAAAAATTAAAGCTGTCTGATAAATTTTTAAGGTATATTCAGGCAATATATATTCAGCACGGTAAAAAAATAAGAAACTTCAAGCACTTCTGAAGGCTGTAAAATGAAAGGAATTGTTTCCTTTCTCGTTCCTTCCCCTAACCCCACTCCACAGAAGAAACTATTAAACAGTTTTTAGGTATCCATCTAGAAGAATTTCATGCATTTATAGGAACATTTATACACTAAAAAATGAGATCATAGTATACATACTGTCCTGTACTCAACATTTTCATTCAGTAATATACCTCGGAGAGCGTTCCCTGTCGGCACATACCATCCTCCTTCTCACTAGGGTTCCAGCGTATGCTTATGGCCCATGTGTGTTTATCCAGCCCTGCTCATGGGTGGGCAGTCGGGTCGTTTTCACTGTTGGCTGTTACCGACCACACTATGATGTGTACTGCAGCTTCTGAAAGTCTTGTGTAGTAGATCTCTAGGACAAATTCTTAGTGGTTACATTGTTTGGCCAGAGGGTGTGTGCACTTAAGACGATGATGGACTTTGCCAGATTGCCCTCTAAAAGGGTTGCAGCAAAATTTCTCACCAGTAGTGCATAAAAGTGCCTTCTGATAATCTTTGAGTCAAAATTAAGGAGACAGGTTTTTTAATTGACTAACTTTTACCACTACCTAGCATTTTACTATCCTGACTATAGGCCAAGTATTTGGTCTTAAAGTTGATTTCTCTCTCTCTCTCTTCCAGTGGAATCAGGGGAGAAAGGGATCAAGTTTTGTTTTGTATTGTTTTGTTTTGTTTTTCTCCAATTTGCCTGCTCTTGACCCTGCTGGCAGTGGGTGCAGTCCTTGGGAAGGAACTTCCCTGAGCCAGCAGCTCCTCTGACGACATAGCTTCTCCTTCGGGAAGGAGGCCCTCTTCCACAGAGCAGCGTTATGACCTGGAGAAAAGCCAGGCTCTGGATGCACACAGCCGAATTTCGGTTCCACTTCTGTAGTAACCTACTGCCCTGTGGGACCTTAACCCTTTTAGGTCTCGGTTTTCTCATTGGTAAAAGGGAGTTCTGAGTAGTAGCTACTTCATAAAATGGTAGGGTTTGATGAAAATCTGTGTGTAAAGCTTTAAGCATAGTGCCTGGCATGCGAGCATGACCATCATGGTGCTTCCTGTTTCTTTCCTCCACTCCTAGTTTGTGTCTGGCCTCCGGTTGGGATTTTTATATCTTGTTTCCCCTGTGGATAGTCCCTCGAAGATCAAATCTCGTTCATCAAGGTGTTCACTGGTTTTGCCACTTAGTAAATGTGCAAAGTTTTGAAGCATCCCGGATTGCAGTGAGCTATTCTTTGTTCAGGAAGACGCACAAAGCAGTCAAAGATACATGTGGCTTTTTGCAGACTCACTGTGACAACGGACTCGCTTTGTGCTCTAGTTGGCCTGTTCTGTGGGAGCACGTTGAGCACAGCTTAGCTGGAAAGATAGATTGAGGATGATTTAACTCCAGTGTTGTGCGTTCCTGGGAGGTGGGGGAGGGGAGAGCAGTTGATTTCCTAAGGCACTTTCCTTTCTTGCTTTGAAAAAACCTTTTCTGGTCCCCAGTGAGCTCATTTATTGAGAGAAGAGAGACTGTTTGCCTTCTGAGTTTTCATCTACCATACTTTCAAGTTTGGTTATCTCCTTTATGTCTCAGGTTCTCAGTGTAGTGAGGTGTAGTTTTATTTAGCACTAGCCTGGCTTAAATTTGTCCTATTTTAATAAATTTTTCATAGTCCGGTCCTCTTTCTCTTTGACTTACCTGTGCGGATGTATTTGAGAAACAGTAAAGGGACATTTGAGCTCAAAATTAGAGTGGGTTTATCCTTTGGGTATTGATGGAAAGAAGTGCTGTTTTGGATATCTCGGGTTTTTCAACCCCATTCAAAGCACTAATTAGGGAGACCTGCATGGCTCAGTCGGTTGAAAATCTGCCTTCGGCTTGGGTCATGATCCCAGGATCCTGGTATCAAGCCCCACATCAGGCTTCCTGCTCAGCGAGGAGCCTGCTTCTCCCTCTCTTCCCTGCTGATGCTCTTTCTCTTTCTCTCTCTCTGGCTATCTCTGTCACTATCTCCGTCTCTCTCTCAAAAAAAAAAAAAAATCTAAAAGAATAAAAGCACTAATTATTGGAATCAGCTGATTAACCCACTGATTTTATGAAAATTCACTTTTAAAAGTTCGTAGTCCCTCAAGTCATTACCTGGTATTTTTCATTGGTGTTTTAAAATGAAGAATGGAGATTAATTTACTACAAGAATGTGTCTCAGCATCTCTTTGAATCTGATAGTACCATTAGTCATCCAAATATTATGTGAGTGCAGCTCCAAACCCTCCAGCACTTTTGTGGGTGGATGGCTGGTGGTTGTTAGTAATGCCGTTACAAATTTGCACTGAGATGTTTCTCCAGCATGAATGCCACCCACTGGAACGTGAGGGAAGACACTCTATATCTATGAAATTTTCCCCAGTTTTGAGGAGGCAGCACTTTCCATGTGATTGTGTTCAAAGAATTCTCTGCTTGTTTGAGAAAAACCTGCATTTTTAGGAAACTAATTGTCCTGTAACATTTCTGGGTGAACTAAGCCATGTCATGGGTGGCTCTATAAGATTTTAGTATCCTCCTGCTATTCTATAATATAATACCATAATTCCCAAACAGTCTTCTGTGCGGTGCTCAGTGTCACTGTGCTTACGCTGTGAATATCATATTTGGGCTCTATTTGCTTTGGCCCAGGAGCATGTGGCCCAGCACGTTTTATTAAGATGGTGTGAGACTATTAGCAGGAGAGCTTGCCTGCGGCTAAATGCACGTGGGGGTTTGTGTCTGTGCCTCTGGCCCGTGTATTTAGGATTCAGATGAAGGCTTTATGAGAACAGAGAGTTTGGTTTATCTTTGTTTGTACTGATACAGAACTGGGGTTTAGCTATAATCTGTTATTGATTAACTGTGATCAAAGCAGATAGTGAAGTCCAAATGTTGATACAGAATTTGAGTCAGCGACCAGAATTTCCCTAACCTGTAGAAGTGCCCCAGCAGTGTTATTTGTGTTTAGTTGGAGAATATCCTTGCACCATGTGATAATCACATTAGCATTTTATAGGAGCCACAGCTATCTGAGCATTAAGTAATAATGTTTTCGAATCCATCCGTTCATACATCTAGCCAGCCGGACGCGTGCTGGGCACGGAGAGTTACAGAACACCAGTTGTGTTCCTGGCATTGGCACGTTACAACAGCATTCTGCACAGGATTCAGCGAGTTGGCACTTTTAGAACCTAGCCTGTTAATACACGTAGTCTCCTAAGGAAATGAAACCAAGGAACATCGCACAAATGTATCTAATCTCAGGGCACCTGGGTGGCTCAGTTGGTTAAGCAAGTTAAACATCTCTTGTTTTCCGCTCAGGTCAAGAACTCAGGGCGGTAAGATCAAGCCCCAAGTCAGGCTCTGTGCTGGGCATGGAGCCTACTTACGATTCTCTCTCTCCCTGCTCCTTTGCCCCTCCCCTGCCTCATGCGTGGACACATGCTTTCTCTCTCTCCCCCTCTCTCGAAAAAGTAAAGTATTTAGTCTTAAGAAAAGGCTTGTAAATACAGCTGGTGGTTCAGCTGTTTCCAGCTCAGGTAGGAAGGATCAGAGAGAAAACTCTGGTCCCTCTTGGTCTGCCTGTGCACAGGGATCCCCAGGTTAGGCTCTAGAGTTTTGATATTGCCTTCTTGGGCTCTTTACTTCAGTGGCATACATGACCTGAAAGGTGGCCGTTGCTAAGTGGCATGTGATGGTGAGGGAAAACCAGTGTAGTTGCAGTTACTCTGGCCTCCGTTGTGCTGCAGCGTGGAAATCAGTGTCAGCTCTGTTGCTAACCCTCTAAAGTATGTTTTTATGTCTCACATTTCCTGAAGCTGTCAAAAACACTTCATCCATGAAAATGGTATTTATGATACCATATTATCTTTATTAATTCTTTTGCTGCTTGAATTAAATTTTTGCTCTCAGAGGTGGAGGGTTAGAAGATAGAATTGCCTCATTTAAGAGCATTACGTTGACGATGAGTCTCATGCCTCATAAAGGAAAGAGAGAGACCCACTTAGGGCTCTTAGCATCATTCTATGTATTTGGACATATTTCCTAATTTAGTTCTGAAGTACTTGGCATTCGATGGCAGATTGTATTAAGCAGCACGCGGCATGCATACTAATCAGGGAGATGTGAGTGAAGTAATCCAGAAGGCTGGAACGTGTTTGACAAGGACGCTTGCTTGGCGCTGCTGCCTCAGCTTACATCACGCTGGAAAAGAATTGCTAACGTCTCCTGTGATAATCATTCCCTCTACATGAACGTGAAAGGACTCTGGATTGGTGGCTTGTGCTTGTCACAAGTTGAAATATCAGTCAGAGAGAGCCTTTGGAATCAGAAACTCAGCACCTGTGCGTTTGGGCCCGCCTCTCCCATATCTACACTAGAATATGAAACCCATCTTTTGCTCAAGGTACTATTCCAGAGAACAAAAACTTGGTATTTTACAAACAGGATGACTAATTTAAATTGAAATTTCCCAAAGTAAATGGCTAATTTCCTTTTCACTCATCTTAAAACCTTTAAAATTTTTTATATATACTTTGTTCTTGGAGAAATTTAGGGAAGTAGCTCTTGGAGACCAGTTTTCTTGGGTTACTGAGTCATGTGGACTACCAGAAAGATCCATTTTTATTATTGAGGTTGCTGCCATTGTTAGTGACTCCTTATTGAATACATGCTGTATGCTGGATTTTTTTTTTTTTTTTAAGGTTTGTTTATGAGAGAGAGAGAGAGCATGTGCGCATGTTGCAGGAAGGGGCAGAAGGAGAGGGAGAGAATCTCAAGCAGACTCCCTGCTGAGCGTGGAACCCGATGCAGAGCATA